GACAGGGTGGAGGGGCTGTGAGGAGCAGTACATCACAGGATGGTGGTAAACAGTCCCACCAGAGGACAGGCCACGTGAAGCCCAAGAGCATGTACCATCTGTGTGCAAGATCAGACAGCACCGTGTGGCCTGGCTGCCCCTGGCCTCCCAGTACCCAGTTCCTGTTCTCCACTGACCTTGGCTTCCTTCCCTTTTGGCCTCAATCTGTATGTCTGTTTCTCTTTGTCTTCTTCCCTCTTATTTGTATATCTGTATCAGAAATGAGTATTATCTCAGAGCTTCTCAAATTTTAATCTTATTTCAAGTTCTTGTTAAAACACAAGTTGAAGGGGACTGAGATTCTGCATTTCTCAAAAGCTCCTATTACTGGTAGTGTTCTCGGACCCAGGAGGTCATTGCCCCATTTTAAAGCAGACATTGTCCAAAGAGGACAAGTCAGAGGGAGGTGGTGCTGAGGAACTGCAGGTTGGAGAGATCCCACAGGAGGTGGTGGCTGTCCTCCCTTTGAAGGCTCCATTGGAGGGGCAGAAGTCTAGCTCCCTGGGTGTGGGGTGCCAAGCACCAGATGAGAGGACACTTGTTTGGTTCTTAGGGAGTGCCATTTGGTGGAGATGTACAGACTTTTATCTTGAAGTTATTCCCTGTACAACAGAAAGCAACTGTGTACAAAGTATTTACATTTTATTAGGTATTATAAGAATCTAGAGATGATTGAAAGTTGATGAGAGGATGTGCATAGGTTACATGCTGCAAGTACTATACCATTTTACATAAGGGACATTAATGTCTCTGGATTTTGATGTCCACAGGATACAGCTGTGTGTTGGACCCACACAGTAACCTCCCTATTTAAGACTAGTTGATTAGTGACCTTAATTGCATGTACAAAGTCTCTTTTTTCTCTTTCTTTTTACAGGCTGATAGATTATACCTCCTGATTTTTTTCACTTTGTTAAATAAAAAGTGGTAACTAAATATTCTTTGAAGTTTTTCTGAGTTCTAATGGGTAAAATGGGTGATTTGAACATCACCCCTAATTTTACTTTTACTTTCTGTTAAAAATCACATATAAATTAAGGGGAATTTTAGAAAGGAATCAATCAATTTACCAGGTTGGGCATGGTGGGAAAGAAAATAGCAAAAGAAAATTGGTGAGCTAGGAATACATGGATGGATGACTCAGGTTAAAATGTAATAATTGGGCTGGGGATTTAGCTCAGTGGCTCCGCCGCCTGCCTTGCAAGCTCAAGGACCTGAGTTTGATCCCTGGTACCAAAAAAAAAAAAAGTAATAATTGATGGTGCTAGATTGTTTCAGAGAGTAGGAGGGGAAGGCAAGCATCAGAGGTGGGTAAATGTGAGAATAGTTGGAAAGCGGATTTCCATCTCCAAATTGCTTTCCTTCCACAAGGTGCTGCTGAACTGCCTCTCCCATTGTAACTGAGCATTGGAAAAGTGAGATCTTAGGAGGCTCCAGGTATTCTTGGGTTTACAATGTTGAGATCCCCTGCCCCAGTCTTCTAACCCCAGTTGGATCTTAGAACACTGACAGCCATTCCCTTGATCTGCTGGGGAAGCCACAATAGGCTAAGAAGAAAAAACCAAGGGTGCCGACTGCAAGGATTTCCCACCAAACAGCCAGCAGGTCATCCTAAACAGAAACTCAGCTGCCTGAGGACTCAGCCTCTAGCTACTTCATTAGTCACTCAATCGTGAGAATTGCTAAGAGTTACTAGAATTACTAGACCTCTGAGGAAGGCGCCTAATGAGAAAGCAAAACAAATAGGAAAAGAGCAAATTGCAGCAGCCTGTTTACAGAAAAGAACACTTGGAGAAAAACCTCAGATACTTCCTTAGATAAGAGAAATACTGTATTTATGACACAAGACAGGACACTATAAAAAAGGAACATTTACAAAACAAAAAGTTATTTAAAAAGTTAAAAAAACAGGGCAGAACAAAAATATCAGAATTATTAGAAGATAAAGTTGAGGCAGTCTTTCAGAAAAGATGAAGAAATGGATAATAGGACCAAAAAAGTCAGAAAATTAAAGGGTCCGTATCCATTAAAAACAGCTGCAGAAAGGGAGAACAGAGAAGAATGCAAGTGGTAAAATCCTGGAGGAAAACGTTTCCTAGAATGAAAAGTTAGAAGAATAGAATTTGGAAGGATCCATGGAATGAGTGTTAAGCCATGTGGGAGAGGCTAGATCTAGACCAGTACCTGAAATCTCAGTGCCTGCAAATCTACAGGAAGAAAGAGTTAAATACAAAGATGAGAAGTCCATGGCTTTGGGCGTCTCAGTGCTTTAGAACATAGAAGAGGGTGAACAGCGCCTTCTCACTGTTCTCCATGAAACTGAGTCTCAGCCTAGCATTCTACACACAGTCAAGCTTATTGCATATTGAAGGTAGAATAAAGATGTTTTTCAAAATACCTGGTCAGAAAAACTCATCTTTTGCACTGATGGATTTCTCTACAAAGATGAACAAAGACTGGACATCCTGTAGGCCGTATGCTAAAAGAAGTTTGAAAAGGGAGTCTTGGCACCAGTGGAGGTAGAAGCATCACAGGAGGCTTCCAGAGGGATTTCTTCTGTAAGAAGAAACAAATAGAACTAACTGAGAGATTTAGACAACAGACATTGAATTTGAGGTTGACTATTGGTAAATTAATAGAAAATAAAGCAAACAAAAATAAGAATTATAAACTCCAGAGAAAACATAGTTGCACAGGAAAAGAAAAGCAATTGTGATTACATGGTTCACTTTGATAGCTCACGTGGTCATCCTAATGTCAACTCTGAAAATGACTCCAGTCAGCTCTATAGTTTAACTATAATTACATAGTAGAGAGATGGGAAGGACAAAAGTGACAGGGTAGCTTGTGGGCGGGGAGTAGAAGAGGTCTGTGGGAAACAAGAGTTAAATGAATCCACATCTTCTAGGGTAGGAAGTAGACAGGTAATTCCCCCGACTAGAAAAACCAGGGAATAGTAATGCAAGCATATTAGATACCGACATTTCTAAGACTGTAAACAGTAAGAGTCAGCAAGAAGGTTAGTGTCCCATGGAAAGGGGATAGCTTGGCCTCAGAGTGAGGCTGGGCTGTGCTCTTTTCGTAAAGGGAGATTGTACAGTGATTGATTCTTAGATTATGTGTAGGTATAGTTTTGAAAAAGATTGACAGCAAGTGTAGACTCCATAGCATGTGATGAAGATACTGTTTAAAGAAAATTATTTTAGTAGTGCATGCAGGTGTGTACATACTGTATTGATTTTTGTTAAATGTATTTTGTTTGATTGTTCTTATAGTGTTGGGGATATTTGAACCTAAGGCCTTGTGCCTGCTGGTCAGTGGCTGCTATGGCCTCAGCCCATATAGTGTATTTCTTACCATCATGGTGGTCAGACCATTGGAAAGCTGTTGTTTAGTGGTTTCTCAGTGGCAGTTCACTTTTCACATTTCTAAATTGATCAGATATGTACATATGTATATATATTTTCTTACAGTTGAGCATGTGCCACTTTTTTAATTAGAAAAGGGCAGCAGGGAGGGATGTTACAGTTTAATATAGTATAGAGGTAGAAGGGAAGCCCTGTTTGTTGTGGTGGCTGCAGGTCTTGGGTTCGGCACCCCCTTAGGAAGTGACCCCCATTTGCATTTATTATACCAAAATGTTACGTAAGGGTGAGAATGGAAACTTTGCAAAATCACTTAAAGGCCACTGCCCCTTGCAGCCATTTTTGTACTCTTATAATCCACTGGGGCCTTTCCTCACATGCTTACAAATTGTTTTAAAATTGCAAACCAGGATGTTCGTTTCATATTTAATTCATATTCTTTTTCTTCTACTGGCTTATTTTCATGAGGCAAATCCTTAGTCGTGAGTTTATTAGATTAAGGATATGACCAGATGTTTTTAGTGTTGAATGTCTGTAACTGTTGCTTTCCAAGGGTAGAAACAGATTGGTCTGCTGCCAGCCAGGTGTGAAGATGCTTGCCAGCAATAGTAAATTTAGTATTTACTATTGGTAAATAGCGGTATATTTAGTGTAAAATAGTACTTCCTGGTTGTCTTTAAATTTAATTTTCAGTGCGTTGAATATTTCTTTATCTGTTAATTATATTGACCTTTCATTTCTATATTATATCAATATTCTTTGTTTACCTAAAATGAGAGTCTTTTGTTTTATTAGATATGAATCTTTCCAGGTCATAAATATTTACCTTTTCTCATAATTGCAGCTGCAGACAGCTTTATCATTTCTGTTTCCTTTATTATTTTACTGTTACTTTTAATCATGTGGGAATTTTTGATAATCTTGTACTTTGGATTTGTTTTCCTGTTGCCTCAGGAGAGAAAATGATTAACATGGGCTTGCTGAAATAGCCTCTCTTGGGTATTTGTACACATGCGCATACCTGTGTGCCCTTTAAATATTTAGATTGAGTTTTGCTTATTTAATTCTCCTCAGATTGCTAATCAGCTATCCCAACACTATTAAATAATTCTACCTTTGCCCTGTTTTGAGAAGTTGATTTGACAAACATATGCCTTCTATTTGCCATGTAAATGCTTTGTTTTGTGCTAATAAATTCTTGGAGTTGAGATAGTTTGAGGTCTTGGTACTTTTCTACTCTCACAAAATAGCTTTTGGTTTCTTCTCTGCTGGAGAGGTAATTAGTATTAGGGAAAAGTTCATTCACTTACAGAAAACTAAGATTCTTAGTTGTGCATGCATGTGTGTGTGTGTGTGTGTGTGTGTGTGTTTTGTGTGTGTTGAGGTAAATGGTAATGGTTTAATTGAACATGACAATTGGTAATAGGCTAAAATAAATTTTGCTAGCAGTTGGTATGACTTGGTTTAGCAAAGAAGGTGAGGTGCCAAGTTCCACAGTCCCTTTGAGGTCATTTGGGATCAGGTATCACTGTTTGATCATCCAGCTTGGGCTTGGACCGCACCATCTGTGCACACAGAGTTATCTCCTGGTCAGTTGTGTGGCTTGTGGGGTGGAAGAACTGTGAAACCAATGGGGGAAAGAAGCCAGGCGCCATGTGGAGGTTTCACTGCTGCCTGCCTCTCTGTGAGGTTCCCAATGATCTGTGAGTGTCCTTAATGACTGGCCTGGAGCTGAAAGAGACTGGGTGAGGGTCCCTGGGTCAGGACAGGATAACCAAGTGCCAAGGGCCCTAGGCAAGAGAAGCGGGGCTGAGTCACCAGTACTGGCCTGACCTGTTTGCTCATTAGGTAGTTCCCCTGTGGAGCTGCAGTCTGGGGGAAAGGAGGGAGTCTGGCTTTTTTACTTCCTCAGAGCTTCTGGGAGGTTCTTTGCTGTGGTCACAGGGCACCTTCTAGGATCCCTAAGCATCTGGGTGCTGTGTGTGACCAGGCCTTCCAGACTTCTCCAGGAACTTGGAGGAAGAGGGAGCACTCTTAAGGGTCTAAATCATCTTGTTCACAAAAACAAACAGGGTTTCTACCATCCAGAACATTTTTCCTGCCCACTAGTATACTTCTATACAACTAGTATAGTTGGCTGTTCACTTCATAAACTTAATTGAGTTGTAGGTTTAAAGTACTTTTTTCCTACAGTCATGAGTCCAGCCACCTGTAGCCCCCTCCACCAAATATATAAAACCAAAACCCCCAGTGCTTTGGGACTCTGTCATCTGTGGAACACAAGCAGGTGAGTGTTAGCTCCTTTGGTTGGTTGTTACCCTACCCCTGACAACATGGTTCTTCTGCCTTCATAGGACCTCCAGAGGGACTGCATCCCCCTTCCCCGTGGCTAACCCCTGGCCATGGATCCAGAATGTCTTAGTCACCTGAAGTACTTGTCAGTAAGAAGGACTTAGGGCCCCACCCAGGCCCACTGCAGATCTGGGGTCTGGGGAATCTGATTCTGATAAGTGATCCTGATCCTGCCAGCTGGGCCTTTCACACTTTCGACAGCAGGGCCTGGTCACTAAGAGCCACGTTTCAGTTGGGATGCTGAGGCTCCAAGTGCAGCGCCTTTGATGCGCTTGGCTGCGCCATGCTGCTGCAGGAAGGTAGCTGTGTCTCAGCAGGGAGCTCCTTGCTCTGCCTGCAGCCACCCTGTGGCCCCCTTCACATCCAAGCTCAAGTGTGTGCCCTGCCACGGAGTGCTAGGCCCTAAGGATGCCTGCGTTCCCTCTCACTCACAGAGTGGTGTTATAGGCATGCAGAGAGGGCGTGGGCATGGGAGCTGCCAGGTGTTGTTGCCTCTCTGGCTAGGTTTTGAGGTTAGATAGGCTTTCTTATCAGGGCACTGACTGCTCTTCTGTCCCTCCTGGGAAGGCCGAAGCAGGGCGAAGAAATGGTAAGTCTGCTCCACACCTGAGGGCTGTTGAGCAGCCACAGGGCCTGTTTTCAGGGGAGTATGGTCTTGTGTCCCCTGCTGACATCATTTTCTCAGAACATTACAAACCAGCACTGGTCTCCCATGGCCACCTCCCTGGAAGGGGTTTTGCAAGTAGCTTCTTCCCCGAAAGGTGCATAAGCTGGCTTTTTACTGGCAGTCAGGGCTGGTTGTTTCCTTGCTGCCAACCATGGTGGACTTGTTTGTTCTTGCCCTGGGCTCTCTGTGCGTTGGAAAGTGGGAGGTGAACAGGGCCAGGGTTTGGGCGCATTTCCCTGTGTGACCTCAGAACCTGCCTTGCCCCCATCTTGGGCCCCCTTCCTCTCTCCCATTCAGCTTTGCTTAGGGAACAGGGGATGGTGGAGGAGTTCAGGGTCACTGGATTGCCACGGGGGTTCAGAGTAATACTGGTTGGCCAGGCCTTCAGAATTCCCCTTTGATGTCATTCCTGCCTTTTCTTAGGACTCCATGAGGGACTTTGGGGATGGCCACAGACAAACAGCTTCCCCCTCTTAACCCCTCAGGTCACAGGCTTTCCCATGAAGGTTCTATAGTCCAGGCTTCACTGCAACCCCAGGGGCCTGAGGTCATGGTAGGCAGAGCAGGGCTGGAGTGAAGAAAAGCTGGGTGGGCTAACTGCTGGCCACTGTGGGGTCAGGGGTCCCGACCCAGGCCAGGTTGTCAGGGTTCACCTTGCTGTATGCTAGATTGGGAGGTGGCCTCAGGTGTTAGAAAGCAAGGACAGAGCCTGCCTTTTGGCTTTGCGTAGTGCCCACACGTTGACTTGAGCCCATGCTGCCTGACCTTTTATCTCTCCTTCCTAGACATGGCTCTTTTGTGGTCAAGTCCTGTATTCTTGGTTGGCTCTGGTAGATGGGAAGAATGTGGACTGTGGAACCCTCTGTACTTGGTTCAGATCCTAGGCTCTGTTGTTGCTTCCTTGTCCTTGAGCAAGTCACACAACTTTTCTGAACTGTTTACTGAGCAAAAGATAGAAAAATCAAAAAGGGTTAGGAATGTTTGGGATTCCAAGCAGAATTCCTGGGACTTAGAAGATACTGTGAAACTTGTCATCTCCCTTCTTTAAAAAATTCTCCTCCTATTCTTTTGTTTGTTTTTCAAGGCTAACAATTCTGCTTCCCCAGGAGCTGGCACTGGTCTAGCAGTGCCTGATCTAGCAGGATACTAGGGAGACTGTGTGGAGATTTCTGAAGCCTGACTCTGAGCCTCACCTTTGCTTTTTGCTTGGGGGATTTTCTGGAATGATATTTGGAAATTAAGCCTGCCATCTCATCGTCCCTATCTCTGTAGGCCCTGCCTCTCAGAAGATGCACTATTACAGATACTCGAATGCTGAGGTTAGCTGCTGGTACAAGTACCTCCTGTTCAGCTACAACATCGTCTTTTGGGTAAGTGCAGGGGTGTGGCCATGTTCCTACAATTCCTCATTATTGAGTAAGTCACCATTCTTCACAAACATTTGATGTGCAGCCCCTGGGTGAGGCTCTGAGATGAGCCTGGTGGGTAGGCTCTGTGGGCCGGTCAAAGAAAGCAGACTAAGGCCCTACTTACCTCTGCCCAGATGCCCGTCTCCCTGTCCTCATCCCTGCCTCCAGAAGGCTCCATGAGATCATGGCAACGTGGTGCCTCATGGGCACTTGACCATGGACCAGGCCCTTCTCTAGGGTTCTGGGAGGTGACACTGGACAGGGAGAAAAGTTCTGCCCTTGTGCTGACAGTTCACCAAGGGTGGTGGGGCTTGCTGGGCATCAGTGAGCAGATAGGAGGCCGGGGAGTCTAGAGTGATCAGGAAAGAACATCCTGAGGAGGTGACTTGGGGCTGGACTTGGGATGAATTGAAGAGGTAGGTAAGTCAGTTCTGGGGAGGAAAGCTCCAGGCCAAGCTCAGAAGCCTTGAGGCAGGAATGAGCTTGGCATGTGCAAAGGACAAAAAGTGTCATGTGGCTGGAACTGAGTAAGGGCAAGAGGGTACACAGGCAAGGACAGAGGTCCCATAGGGGCAGTAAGGATTCAGTAGATAGTTGGAATTATTTTCTACTTCTGTAAATAACTCTTGGAAGGTATGAGTTAATGGAGTGACTGCAGAGAGGGTGGAGGGTGGTCGTATCCTGTTCTCTAGTGGGAATTTGAGTGTGGAGTGGTAAGTTTGAGTTGTCTCTTAGCCACCTTCACAGGGATGGCACTTTCTTTGGTCTTTGAGAGCATCACCAAGAACATGTTGACTGAGAGGAGGGATGACTGAATACTGGGCCCTGGGGGCTAGGTGTAGGAGGAAAGCCGGCTCGTAGCTGACTGGTAATGAGTGTCCCCAGGTGAGGAAGACCATCAGAAAGGAGCAGCCAGCCATATCCAGTGTGGTGATGCAGGATAAAGATAGCAGCCTAGTGATGGCTGCACAAGGTGGAGGCTGTGGTGACCCTTACTGGAGCCGCTCTGTGCTCTAGGTGAGGGTTGGGAGATGATATCCAGCTGCAATTGGCCGAGGAGCCAAGGGAACGTGCTGGAGTGAAATGGTGCCTTCTGACAGTTCTTTTAAAGTCTGTCCTGAAAGAGAAGAAGGAAAACTGGGCCTTGGCTGGTAGTGGTCAGGGGTTCCAAGGGATAATTGTGTGTCTTGCCTGAGGGATTGGTCCAGCAAGAGGCAGACAATAACCCTGTGCCAGAGGCTTTTAAATCACACAGGAAGCATGGTTTAGAGGTGTCTGTGGGGGCAGATAGAGGCAGGGACAGAGTGGCCGTGATACATTGTACTTCTACTGTGGATTGGTGGTTCCTGTTTGGACTGGTGGTACTGGAGAACAAAGCTAGTTTACAAAGACCTTTTGGCTTTTCAACTTTGATTTTATAGCATCGTTTCCTGGCAGTTTATCTCAGTGTGATTGGTTTTTTTTGTCCTGAAAGACAAGGTGGGATTTAGTGATTTGTCCTTTGACCAGCAGAATCTTCACTGACCCTACAATAGTGAACGGCTATTGTGGGTTGTGTTAGCCTTCTGTTATTCCGACAAGACCTGAGGTAGTTCACTTACAAAGGGAAAAAGCTTACTTTGGTTAATGCTTTACTCATGATCAGGTGGACTACCTGCTCTGGGCCTCTGGTGGGGAGATTTGATTTGAGCAGAACAAATTATCTCATGGCCAGGAAGCTAAAGGGGTGGGAAGGGGCCAGGTGCTCGCAATCTCCTTCGAGGGCTCATTTCCAAAGACCTGAAGATTTCTTCTCCACCTGCCTCCTAAAAGTGCTGCCATCTCCCAGTAGTACAACCCTTTAACATGTGGGCCCTTGGGGATATTCAGCATCTGAACTACAGCCATGCAGCTCCTGCGGGTCCCTCCTTTGGGAGGACTGTGCCTCATCCTAACCATGTGTAGAGGGAAGCCCTCTGCTTCCACATGGTCTACTTCTGCCCCCAGGCCAGGTGTGATGGACAGCTGCCTGGGCTATGTGGGCAGCCTGACTCTTTGCATACTTGAACACCTGGCTCTTCCCCTTCTAGCTATGCTTGTGAACATTTATGCCTTGGCCTCTGACTCTCACCCTGATTTCTGCAGCTGGAGCAAACTCTACTGCTGCTGTGGCTAAGGGCCCTGGTCAGCTCTGTTTCTTCAGAGGGTCTTCAGACCTGTTTCTTGTTCCCCTTGCTTGGCAGTACATTTGCACCCCAAATTTAGGTTGCAGAGTTTGTGAATTCAGAGTTGTAAAAAATCTACTTGGTTATAGAGGGGCGTTATTGTGTTACCAGGGTTTCACAGACCTAACAGTGTGTGTGGTTAAGAGTTAATCACTTTTCAGTTAGTGTGCACTGGGGCAGAACAGGAGGGCATAGGAACAGTTGGCAAATGAGAGTGCTTGGTTGGGAAATAGAAGTGTGAGGCCAGCTTCCTGCTCAGGCAGAAGCTGCCCAGCCTCTCCATGATGGTTCCTTGGAGGGATTTTTTTCACCTCATCTGCCCAGGAGCTGGCAGGGAGGAGTGAAGCCTGAGAGCTGAGGGTGGGCACAGCTGTCTAGGAGCTCTCAGAAAAGGAGGGAGCCAGGCTGCTGGGGACTGTCACCTGGGCTGAATGTCTTTAAAAGCCTGGGGTTTCTATTGTGAACATTGCTCTCTGCTGCCTGTTGTCTGCCTCATAAGGTTGCTGGTATGCTAACAGTCCTTACCTCTTCAGAGAAGGTTTTTTAAATGGGGAAAATAGAAAAATATAATGAGCCTCTCGTTCCCATTATCTGGCTTCAAAAACTACCCATGGGGCTGGGGAGTTAGCTCAGCAGCACCATGCCTGCCTCGAAAGTGCAAGGTCCTGAGTTCGATCCCAGGTACCCAAACAGCAACAGCAACAACAACAAAAAACCTACCCACTCACTCCTGGCTGATGTTATTTCATTTGGGTGCCTTTGTATTATTTCGGAGCAAAGCCTAGAGAGATGATTTTGCACAGTGTTAGATTTGGTTTGACAAATGAAAGGTGAGCATTGGAGGATTGCTCAGCAGGCAACTCTGAATATACAGAAGGCAACCTGTTGTTTCTGTGACCAGTTCTAGGTGCAACACACACATAGCTTTTAATTTTTAGCAGTTTGCCACCATTTAGTGTTGTTTTTACAATAACTTTCTTTGTAGATATTACCTGTGGCAATTTCTGACTTGGGGCTGTGATTTCCCATGGACCTGGAATACCTGCCTTGGGTAAGAAACATGGATTCTGCTGGTATCTCTGTTGTGGACCTCATGGTCATGGGGATGTTAGGGAAAATTGCTTCCAGCCCCCACCATTTTGAGAATACTAGCACTTTTTACTTTTTTAAAATCACTTTTTGTTTGTGCTAGACCTATTTCTAGTGCAAAATCTCACTTCAGCTCAGGGGAATACAAATCAAAACCACAGTGAGATACCACTTCTGGTCCATTAGGATGCCTGTTTAAAAAGAAAAACAAAAATCCCAAACAGAAAATAAATGCTGGCAAGGCTGTGGGGACATTGGTGCCCTGTGCACTGTTGGCAGGGATCCATCAAATGATGCAGCAATACTAGGAACAGCCTGGTGGGTCCTCAGGGAGTCACACAGAAGTGCCACAAGACCAGCAGTCCTCCTCCTGGGTACAGACCCAAAAGGGCGGAAAGCATATGTGTACACCATGGGGTTTTTTTGGTTTTTTTGTTTGTTTGTTTTTGGTACTGGGGATTGAACTCTGGACCTTGTGCTTGCAAGGCAGGCGGCGGCACCACTGAGCTAAATCCCCAATCATGCACACCATGTTCATAGCAGTGTTACTCACAGCAGCCCAAAGGTAACCATTGTTGATTGAATGGACAGATAAAGCATGGTGTGTATGTGCCAGAGTCTTATGTGCCCTTAAAGGCAGGCAGTTAGGACACGTGCTGTAGCAGTGGATGAAGGTGGAGAAAATTATGCTAAGTGAAATGAACCATGTAAAAAGGCAAATACTTTTTTCCACTTATAAGACATGTATTGTGTGGTTCCACTTTTCTTATAAAACCATAGAGACAGAAAGTGGAACATTGGTTGCCAGGGAATAGGGGAGGAGAGAGCAGGAGTGTCTTAATTCATTTGTGCTGCTATAATGAATACTGCAGCCTCAGTAATTTATATACAATAAAGGTCCATCTGGCTAATGGTTCTGGAGGCTGGAAAGTCCAAGAGCAGGGGCCCACATCTGATGAGGGCCTTCTTGCTGTGTCATAAGGTGGTGGAAGACATCATTTGGGAGAGAGAAAAACATCATTTGAGTGAGAGAGAACAAGATGGGGCCAGACTGTGGTGATAATGGCATTAATTCATTCACAAGGACTTTACCTTCATCACCTCTTACAGATGTCAGGTGTCAACACTGTGGCATTAGGAACTGAGTTTCTAACACATGAATTTCGAGGACACATTCAAACCGTAGCAGGGAGCATTATTTAATAAGTACAGAGTTTCAGTTTTACAAGATGAAAGACTTCTGTACACAGATGGTGTTGATGGTTATACCACACTAGATGCACTTAATGCCCCCAAACTGTACACTTCAAAATGGCAGAAATAGGAGCTTGATTTGGAGGCATATATGTATAATCCTAGCCTAGCACTCTGGGAGGCAGAGGCAGGAGGATCACAAGTTTGAACTCAGCTTGGGCAACTTAGTGATATAGTAAGAACCAGTGTCAAATAAAAAGGGCTAGGGATGTGCTTGAGGCAAAGGCCCTGGGTTCAATCTCCAGTACACTTCCTTTTTAAAAAAAAAAAAAAAAAAAGCTAGAATAAGTTTTCAGTCATACATGTTTTAGCACACTAAAAGTTTTCAAAGTCTGACTTTGGTTTGCAGAGGGAGGGAGCTGGGAGAGGCACCCTGGAGGAGCTACGGGTGGCCTCTGTCTTGTTCTTCACCCTAGCCTGGTTCCACAGAGTGTGAGCTCTTGCTTTTGTTGAGTGAATTCTGGGGATGTTTCAGATGATGCCTGAAACTGCAGGATTGCTTTCCACCACATGTATGGAGTTTAATCTGAAAACGCTGGAATAAAGCCCTTGCCTGGATGTAGCTCAGAGTGAGGAGGAACTTGGATTCTTATAAAATACAGACAACGGGTGTCAGTTACACAGCAAGGAGAGTCCTGTGCTTGTTTTAGTTATAAAAAATGTCCTTTTAAGTGATGTTCTGCCATTGGCATTCCAGTGACTTAGATTAAGTCTGAGCCATGGCTTTTCTACTTATAAGCTTTTGACCTTCATAATCAGCCTGTTTCTGACTGAGGAGGGAGCCATGGACATTTGTGCCCTGTGGACAGCATGACGTGAGGTCCCTCCTTCAACTAATGGATGTTTCCCACCAGGAGGGTGGACATAGCATCTGTGGTCCAAATCAGGAGACCTTGGAGAGTGACAGATTTTTGAGAGTTCTGCCAGAACAACAGGTGTACCCCAGGGTCTATCCCAGCAAAACCTGGCCACCCTACCTGAGAGTGGGGGGGGCAAGGCTAGGGCTAGAGATGAGCGCCCTTTCCCTCCATCTTTGTGGGAGGAGTCTTGCAGTCTGCATGTGACCTTGCCTGTGCTCCTCTTTGTAAAGGGTGTGGCACCCTCCCTCAGGTGGTCTCTTATTCCTGGGCTCCTCTAACTGAGAACTGCTCTTTGTGAGCTGAGCTTGGTCCTTGTGATGTCAGACCTGAAAGCCTGATCCCCAGGTCTGAATGCAAATGGCTTCTGTGCTTCTGCCTCTTGGTAATTAAAGTAGGGGAAAGGGAAAAGTCTAGCGTTTTAATGTAGACAAATATTATATATAGATATACATTGGTATTGGACTGCTTTGCAACTTGTCGAATTTATTACATGACCCATTTTGAAGTGAAAATTTTGGCCCCATACTCATTGTTTATCTAAGGATGAGTATGGAAGTACCACTGCGCTTTTGCTTTCATTGCTGAAAAGATGCATTACCTTTTTTTCAAGTGCCTTTTCCTTTTCAAGTATTTTTTTTTAAGTTTACAATTACATGGGAATTCAAGAAGGCCAGACCTTACATCCCAGGATGACTGTATGTTCTCCAACATGTCAGTCTCCACCTGTAGGTATGCAGATTTGTGTCCGGTGCTCAGTGTCCTCATGTTCCTGAGGTTTGCATTTCCACATCCGTATCTCCTGGTGTAGAGCAGTGCCAGTGGCGACATAGTCTTCCCAATTGGGTTTTGTTTTGTTTTTTAAATTCCTGTATTGGAGCCAGGTATGGTGGTGCAGGCCTGTAATTCTAGCCCTCTTGGAGTCTGAGGCAAGAGGATTGCAAATTTCAGCCCAGCCTTAGGCAGTTTAATGAGATGCTGTGTCAAAATTTTAAAAATGTTTTTAAAAAGGACTAGAAGGTAGTTCAGTGCAAAGACTCAATCCCTAATACTTGAAAAAAAAAATCCCATATTGGACATTAGATTGTTTTGAGTTTTTCACTCTTCCAGATAAGGATGTACTGATTAGCTGTGGGTCGTACAGATTAGATTCTTCCTTTTGGGAGGGGAGGGAAGTCAGTCATTTGCGGAGACAAAGTCCCAGGAGTGAGATGAAATGGGTCAGAAGGTGTACATTGATTTGACCTGCCTGGCATACTTGTGTAGTCAAAATTACTTCTCCAGAATGGCCATCTTCCAATTCACAGAAAATAGGCTGCCTTATCTTTTGCCACGCTAGATGTGCATTTTCACCTCGAGTCTTGCCAAGGCAGAAGGTGCAGACTGTTGGTCAGAGACTCCAGAAGAACTAAAGGCTCGGCCTGGGCTGCTGGTCCCTGTGCTCCCCATTCAGCCATGGGCAAGGCGGGGACACCCAAGAGCTGACCAATGAAGGGACGTCAGGGTGCTCTGAGGTTATTACCTGGTGCATGTGATTATCGAGGGCTTACAGGGTACTTTGAAATTGAAATGACTGGCTGTAAGTGTGGGTGTTAATGCTACATCCCTTGCCGGCACCAGGAAGCATGGCACAAACTACTAGAGTGATCTGTCTTCTGTGTGCCAGTGTCTGGCTTTTACTTGCATTTCTTTTATCTCTCAGAAATTCTTTTTGTTTTGGTTTGGTTTGGTTTTTTTAATACCGGAGATCGAACTCAGGACCTTGCACTTGCGAGGAAGGCAGCGGAACCACTGAGCTAAATCCCTGGCCCCAGAAATCCTTTCTGAAAGTCACCTCTGTTGAGGTTTAATTTCAATAAGAATAACATTTACTCATTTTAAGAGTACAGCCTGATGACAGCTGTACCATGATGAAAACATTTGCGTGTTGCCGGAAGCTTCCCTTGTGCCCTCTGCAGGCTGCCTGCCCCTACATCTCATGGCTATACTTAACTTGACTCTTGTGTCTGACTGTCAGACTTCTTTTAGTTAGGCAATGTTTTCCTATTATTTTACTTTTCTAATTCCAAAGATTATTAAAATTGTTTTTTATTTTTAAAGATTATGGTTGGTAAAACATGTATAACAACATTTATCATTGCAGCTGTTTTTTTTTCTTCCCATACTGAGGATTGAACCCAGGGCCTTCACACTGAGCTGCATCTTCAGCCCTTTTTCATTTTTTATTTTGACACAGGGTCTCATTTAATTCACTGAGTTAGGGCCAGACTCAAACTTGGAATCCTTCTGGCTCAACCTCCCAGAGTGCTAGGATTACAAGCATGTGCCACCATATAAGGCCATCTCAACCATTTTAAGTGTGCAGTTCATTAGCATTAAGTATATTCACATTTTTAAATGATCATTATCACCATGTATCCAGTTTATTTCATTTATTATTGTTATTTCATTCTCTTCTTTATACTTGGGGATTATTTTGCTTTTTTCTTAGTTTCTGACAGTTTAAGATTAGATTGCTGAGTTTCAGGTTTTTCATTTTCCCTAATACAAGTATTCGAAGCTAGCGCATCTCACACTGTTTGATATGTTTTCACTTTGGTTAAAGTGTTTTTTGCATGTGCAGAACTGTGCATGTGATTTGTCTCCAGCTCTTCAGGCTAACTTCAGTAATTTCTTTTTTGTTACTGGATTGTGGGGTTTCTTTGTGTTGATTCTGTTTGGGAATCAAATCTTGGAATGCTGTATTTCCATCATTACTTTTTCAAATGTACGCCCCTCTTTATTTCTGGGACTTTCATTCTGCAGATCACCGAGGCTCTGTTCAGTTTTTGTTTTCTTTTCTTCAGTTTGT